GGATGCGGGAGTCTCATCATATGGCGTACCACAGGGTAGTGTTCTGGGACCAACCTTATTTTTAATTTATATCAACGACCTATGCAGCATGACCATACCAAATGCTAAAATCCTGTCGTACGCCGATGACACGGCTGTGGTTTTTGCTGGTGAATCTTGGGAGGTTGTCAAGACTAGTGCTGAATGTGGTCTAGCTAGAGTCGCTCTGTGGTTGCAATAAAATCTTCTCACTCTAAATACAGCTAAGACAAATTTTATTTGCTTTAGCATTACTAACAACTCGCAACCACAGACTGACTTTTGCCTTAAAATTCATGCATGTAATGAGGATGCTAAAAACAAAGCTTGTGACTGCCCATCAATTGAAAAAGTCTCTCACACTAAATATCTCGGCGTCATTGTAGATCAGAGGCTATCGTGGTACCCACACCTGGAACATGTCATCAGTAGAACTCGAAAATTGATTTGGATATTCAAAACCCTAAGATACGTAATACCAGATAATACTAAACAGTCGGACTCTCCCAGATATCTCCTAAACCAAATATACATATCCCTTGCACAATCTATCATAACTTATTGCATTCCGGTGTGGGGTGGAGCTACAAAGACCCAATTTCTTAACTTGGAAAGAGCTCAGCGAATCCTTCTTAAGGTCATGTATTTTAAAAAAGACGTTTTTCCACTGAAAAACTGTATCAAATAAGTAGTCTACTCTCAGTTAGACAATTATACGTTACTATGACAACGCTCAAAGCACACAAATCCGTGCCCTTTGACCGATGCATCTTGGAAAAGCGGCGAAAAGATGTTGTGGCTGTGTCTTCTGGTTTCAAAACAGTGTTTGCTAGTAGGCAATTTAGCTCCCGTTCTACATTCCTATATAATTTAATAAATAGAGAATTAAACATATATGACAAAACATACAAGGAGTGTAAAAACCTTATACTAAAATGGGTGCAGTCGAAAACATATGACGAAACTGAATTTCTAATGGAACGCATTTCATAATTCACTGTTCTTTACGATATATAACATAATAATACTTTCTCTACACACACACACACACACACACACACACACACACACACACACACACACACACACACATTCACACGCACGTGCACAAACGTACATACACACACTCACACACGCGCACACACACACACACACACACACACACACACACACACACACACACCCTTGCATACATGCACACATATACTTTTGTACTTTTTAATTTTTAAATTTTCAATTTTTTGATTTTTAAAATTAAATTAGTTTTTGTTATTTTTGGTTTGTTAAAATAGAGTAATTGGTTTGTCATTTTTGGTTTTGAGAATTAAAATGTATGTTTAGATAAGGAAGAGCGGGGTTTCCAAACACAAGCATTACTTGCTTAAATGGAGACTCCAATCAACTATCTAATTAATTTAAGTTTTGTGAAGAAAAATAAATTATTTTATTTTTATATTTTTTTATCTGTATTTACAGTCACTAAATCAAATAAACATTTAAGTACAAAGTTTATTGTTCGTTTTTAGATTTCTTTTATGAACACTAATATCACAATACGTGCCTTATGTTTCGAAATAAACTTGAAATTACGTAGTAGAACCATACTGCAAATATATTAGTAGTATAGTTGTAGCACAAATCGGTCGACTCGACCGGGGAAGGACCACGCTCTCACAGAAAACCATCGTAAAATAGCAGCTTAACGCTGCTGTGATTTATATGGTGAGTGTAGAGAACCGGAGACACTTTTTACTGGCAAAGAGGCATTCCATCTTAGTCCTCACGGGTGACAACGCATCTGCATCTTTATTGAGGATAGATGAAGATGTCTATGGGTCACAGTAACCACTTCCCATCAGGTGGACTGTGTGCTCGTTTGTCATCCCATCCTTTAAAAAACCGGCAACTCTGTCTACTTTAACCGACTCGCGCACCGAGGGTTCCGAACAAATCTGTAGGTATATAAGTTTAAAATTATTAAAAATATTTTCATTATATGATGTAACTAAAAATTTATGCTTTTCGCAATTTTTCCTTTATCTGTGCTATAAAACGTTGCTTCGTACCAAATTTCCAGATTCTGAATTCACGGGAAGTACCCTGTAGGTTTTGATTCCGTTGCGAATGTCGAAAATTTACGTCATAAACGGCTGTATCTTTTGATTGCGTTGGCTTTGAAGTTCGATTTTTTTACAGGTCTAAGGGACAGTAGACTTGAGTATTTTATATGAATTTCAGCTTGATACCTCCATGCGTTCCTGAGAAAAAGGGTCTTGACAGACAGACAGACAGACGGACAACAAAGTGATCCTATAAGGGTTTCGTTTTTTACTTTTGAGGTACGGAACCCTAAAAAAATTAAAAAACAAAACAAAGTTTTTAAATAATAATACAGAGAGACACAATTAATTTGAAAACTCAAGTTCAAAAGTTGAAGGATAGAAGATCAATAATAATATTTCGTCTTAACAAAGTCAAGGCTATTAATACAGTTTAATCCTTACATTTTGGGGAACAAGTGTTATTGTTCAATATGTGGCAAAACCCGTATTTACTGTGTAGAATTTTATAATAAACAGCACGAGGTTTAAAATTGCTTTTCACATTGCCAATTTGAAATAGTTGTATAAGTATCTATATGAGAAAGAAAGAAATAAACTTATTTCTCAAATTTCGCTTTGCTCGCGTACACATTTCAACATGGGCCCCGCTTCAGTTTCGTTCTTATGGTACACGGCATAACATTTGTTTTTGTACGGCAGCGAGCGCGTGATGTTATAATGATACCACGAATTACGATTCCAAGCCAACGCAACGTTGCAGCGTTGCGGTTCAAAGGTACTCTGTGCGTTGCGGATCGTTATAAGAAATAGACAGTTATGAGCGTAATGTATAACTATCTATACGTTATAAAGTAAATAGACGTTTCCATAACTGTCTATACTAATCATAGCTCATAGCTAATGTAAAATATTTTGTATAAAAATGTATTTATCAAATTCGTGCATATTATTAACAACGTGACTTTTTTCTTTGTAAAATATCAAAATAAACAAAATAATTGAAAACGTTCTATATTTTAACAGTATATAACATAAATTTTAACCAAAAATAAGCTCTTCGTAACATTGACGACCTCTTGAGAATTTACTTGGGAAATGTGCAATTATCAGGATTATTTCTATTATTAACACCACAATCACTCACTGAACAAGTAAGCATTTTGGAAAAAAGTTACTTACTAAAAATAACCACAATTACACTTTAAAAAATTACAAAATATCTAGGAGCTATTTCTTGCGCGCCGAATTGCGCCGACCTGTCATTCAAAATCGGTTATGAGAGTTAAGAGCAGAGTTATGAGATTTGGTATCCTTTTCTATCTTGCTTTTTTGCCATAAGTGATTTTTTTCTCCCTTGAACACTATGTTGGTCTATACGCCAGTATATTCTAAGTCTATGAAAATACCTAATCTACCAAGTACTTCTTATTATTGTCTGTGTCTATCACTATGTCGTGCGTATTGTCTATGTTAAATACGATTTTGAGTCTGTTACATCAACATTACATTATGAAGTCTATGGTTGATTTAATTTAGTATGTTGGCTGTTCTGTTTATTACAAAGTAGTGTTGTATTGTATGAATTTGACTATTTGGTGATCGATTACACTAAAAATGAATAATTAATTCATCGACTTACAATCGCCTATCGTACATTTTGTTTATAATACAAAAAAAAAACTAACCATATTTCGTAAGAAAATAAACGTGACTCACATCTCAAATTTTAAAGAAGTCAAAGTTACACATTTTCAGAGTTTCGTACTCGAAGAGTAACAAACAGGACCCCAATACTATGCCTCTGATGTCCATTCGTCCGTCCGTCCATCCGTCTGTGTGTCTGCGGGCTGTATTTCATGATTCGTAACAGATAAACAGTTGAAATTTTCACAGAATGTGTATTTCTGTTGCTGCTATAACAACAAATAATAAAAATTTAAATAAATTAAATATTAAATGCGGCTCCTGTACCGTGTATTACGATAGTACGGTATCTCTGCAAACATGCCTGAGGCGCTACATTACGGCAGCAACCTTCCATAATATATAGTTCACCCACAGAATGCATGCATAGAAGAACTGACAGTAAGCTTTGAAAATCACAGTCTTAACCTATTAATAGAGTGATTAGAATTAAATGTTTAGTGACTTGACTACATGTAGTAGGCTTTTGGTCGATATTCAGGATAGTCGATTCGATTCGACTTCGTTCGTCACTAGTATAAAGCAACGCAAGTTGTGTCAGTCTAGCTAGACTAGATTACCTATTGCGTTTTCTTTTAGAAATTCAATTCCATTATTTAAAAATGTAAATTGTACGATTTATGTTACATTGATTGATAATGTTATATTTGAAAATTATTAATTAGAAATTTCATTGTATTAGATAAGGTTGAAGCACTGTAATTTGGTGTGTCAAGTGTAGGGCTGTATATATGTGATCACAATAGATTATCTGATTACGTTATATATTTCATGATTTATAAATTTATTTTTATTACTTTACATATTCAATATTCTACGAAATCTATAAGAACGTTGTGTGATGCCTGTAATAAAACTGGGCGTTTATTGAAATTGAATGTCGGCACATCTGGCGATCATTGTGAACGCTATTTCTCCTTTCTTTTTTCACTAATTAGGAAAAATGACTTTTATTTGTAATAGTCCTATTAACTTAGTTTAGTATATATTATTTGAAATGACGTAGTGTAATTTCATGTAAGTAAATTAGTATAAAATAACTTCTAATCATAACTTGTATTACGAAATTTTACAGAGTCCATGCTTTTAATGATTATTAGTTTTATAGTTTTATATGTTATTAATGTCTAGAAAGTGGTGTTGTGATGTTTATATCAAGTGATTTAGTCATTTTATCTAGTTACATACCAGTAGAGTGAGCATTTGTTTGTGACAATGGCTAAAAAATCTGAGAATGTCGGTGGAAAGCTGGTGACGGTGTCGGTCGTTGGGCTATCAGGTGAGTGTAAACATTGAAACTATTTACCTTTTTTATCTAAAGATTTTTATAAATCATAAAGGCTTTATTTTCTAAGTTGCTGTTTCTTTTTTCCTATTAAAACATTAATAAATCAGCTAAAGTTTAATGATTCTAATTACAATGGGCTTGAGGTCCTAATACGGTTTGTATAACACACATTTGTAGTTGCTACAATTGTTCTAGTAAATGGTTACTTAAATAAATTAAAATAATAAAACTAAACTTTCTCTGAAATTATACTTATCTTTTTATTAAATCAAGAATATTCATTCTATCATAAATCATAAAAGGTTATACATTGAAAATTTTGCTAATAGTATATAAAGCTGCATATTAAAATATCAAAACCAGAGTAACTTCTTTAAAATAAAATAATGTGAGAAACATTAACAGGTACTATTAGGTACATATGTACTTAAATTTGAAGTTAAAATGTGAAAACAAAAATCTTATCATCTTGACTAAAATATTATATATATATATATTATTTTAGTGAAGATGATTAATTATATATATATATATATATATATATATATATATATATATATATATATATATATATTAATAAGTTTATGTATATTGTGTATTTATAATCTTTATGTAATTTATTCACTCATTTATAACTACCCTGTCAAAAGTCCAGTGCTAACTATAATATTTTGAGGGCTCCGTGGTGCAGTGGCTTAGCAACAAGTTGCAGTGTTGGGGGTCAGGGGTTTGAATTCTGCACAGAACAAGTATTTGTAAGCTCTTAGCAGAAAGATGCTGCTACTCATACATTGTTTCAGTTACCCTCTGTCACATATTATGACATTATAGGATGATATAGTGTTAACACAATGAAATAATTTATTATAAATAAATATGCACTTATAACACAATATATGTATTGTATTCAATTAATATTTGTACAGAGCACTCAATATTTACAGTTTTTGTAATCACGACACTTAATTACACTTTGACTAATTCGACGCGTGTTCTCAAAACAGAATACCTAAGAATCATGATGCACCCTATTTTACAACATTTCCCTTTCCACTTCTCATCCGTTGTGCACGAAGAGGGGCGGACGATGTTGCCAGTAATAAAGTTGCCAACAATAGAGTGGTGGATTTCCTAATGTCATCACTAAAAGGCAATCATTGTAGATTTGTACAGCGGAGTGTCAAGAATTGTCTATTCTGTAACTGATGAAGATATGAGAAGTATCTGTTGGCACAATGCCAATAAAGCCACTAACATATTAAGCATCTAATTAAGAATATGACTAAAATTTTTAAAGCTTTTCTTTTTTAGTAATAATATGTATTTGTATTTATGGATATCTGCATCAGTTATAGAATAAAGAGCTGGTGAGACTTATGTTATTATGTTCCACCTGTACCTGTCATGTTTTTTCTGCATTGTTATACCTATGTCAAACTTAAGGCGTTAAGTGCTCTTTAAGAAACCCTGAAGCTATTAAATTTCTCCTTGTTTCTTTTTGGTTACCAACACTTCCATTAAGTTAAAAATATTATTTTTTGTCTGTTAAAATAAAAATAATATTAATACTTCACAAGATACTTTCATTCATGATGAGTATTAAGAAAATTTTCATAAAAGGATCAGGTATTATGGTATTTTTTTCATTGTGGTTAATTTTATTTATTTAATAAATGTGTTATTTATTATTAACCATTTATTTTAATGGTTAAAAATGAAATTACCTTAATAATTACATGCCCCCTTTGATACATTTACTCCCGGGAGTGTGCTAGCTGGTAGGTATATAATTCGAGATTTTGAGCGAATGACGGGGCCCTGACTATGACATTGGGACTTCGATTACCTCAGTCACGCCTGTGACTATGGGTGATGTAAAGTGCTTCAAACGTGTGTGTTTTTAAATGGGGAGGAATTGAGCCCTGTTGTATCCACTGTTTTTCTTGGCATCACTCTCGACGCAAAGCTTCAGTGGGGCCCCCATATATCCAAATTAGCAAGCAGACTAAGTTCTGCAGCCTATGCTGTAAAAAAGATTAGAGGTCTCACTAGTGTCGAAACAGCTAGATTAGTTTATTTCAGTTATTTCCATAGCATAATGTCATTGGATTTTGCTATGGGGAAATGCGGCTGATTCAGAAACTATTTTTGTTTTACAGAAAAGGGCCATTAGAGCTATTTACAATCTAAAACTGAGAGAGTCTCTTAGAGATAAATTTAAAGAAATAAATATATTAACTTTGGCCTCACAGTATATTTACAAAAATTTTATGTATGTTCACAAAAACAAAGGTAGTTTTAGTAAAAAAGTGATGTACATTCTGTAAACACTAGGAACAAACACAAGCTAGTGATGCCAGTTTCTCGACTCCACAGAGTCAGTAATTCATTCTTGGGGCAATGTATACGCTATTACAACAAGGTCCCGGAAAGTGTACAGGTTCTCTCTATTACCAAGTTTAAATGTTTTATTAAGCTGAAACTGTATAAAAAGGGTTATTATAATATAAATTAATACATGGTTGATAATAACCCCTGGGAATGAGGTGGTTGTTTCCAAGTAGTTTCTAAAATAAATTTTGTAAATAGTGCGTAATCATTTACATTAAATTTATTTAAAAAAAAAAGTCCCGCAGGGTTTCTTGCTGGTTCTTCCCAGGACAGAGTATTTTTTCGAACCAGTGGTAAAGTAAAAAATGACTTTCAATAAGAATTACACATGTAATGTATATTCAATAAAAAATTATTTTATTCTATTCTAATATTGGGAATAAAAAATAAGTTAATATAATGCATTAAAAATCTGTAAATATTAGTATTATCTCAAAAAACTTATACTTGAAAATTTCATATATTGCTTGTAGTTTGTAAGATAATTTTCAGAAACATTTCATTAATTTTGTCAGTTTTTGCTTCTCACCAAAAAATTATTTATGATTATTGGATTTAATATAGTTTAATCACAACTGGCTTAGCCAATTTGAGGATTAGCCCGGACACTGTATGGCACTGACTAAAATCCTGCCTATCTTTTCCTTTCCTGTTAAAGGTTTCTTATTCTGATAGCACCTGACCATTTTCTGCCGACTTCCAAAAAGGAGACGGTACTCAATTCGATGCGTATGTTTTTTTTTATGTGTGTTACCTCATAATTTTTTACTGGGTTGACCGATATCGATGATTCTTTTTTTATATGAAAGATGATATTTCTCGTATGGTCCCATATGAATTTGATCAAGATCAGACCTATAGTTTTTGAGTTATTCTTAATAACTTATATTGAAGTCGGCTGTACAATATTTTTAATTTTAAATTATGTTATTTGTAAGGTCCATCTTTTTCCATGTATCTAGATGTGATGTGATGTTCAAGTGTATCCATGGGCTTCATTTTGCTTCATACGTCATGGTTTCTTGATTTATTTATTCTTCTCAGCTTTACAATGCTTTTTCTCATTCCACGTTGGCAGGACAGAATTTTGTTTTTATTTTATTAGAAAATTTTACATTGATTGGCTTTTATTTAAGTTACATATATTAAGCAGTGTTAGTTCCAGAGTATAATTTCCTTTTTAGATTTCCTTTTGTGCCCATTACTTTCTCCATGTAATATTTATATTTGCTGCAGGTGTCCAAAATTGTTAAAAAAACAACACTTTGCAAAACTTGTACCAAAATCTTGCACCTTTGATGCTCATTCTCATTGCCGGAGATGATACTTTATGCTGGGAATTGGGTGATCTGATGAAGTTGATTAAGTGGATCCGGCGGACTATAGGCACCTATGTTTACCCTCAATTAAGAAACAAAATGTAGATGTGACCCATCAGAATTAAGATAGAATGTTTCATTACCAGTAAAAAGGGTCTCCAATTCCCAACACTCATAAATCAAAACACTGCTATTTTACACTGGTATTCTGTGAGAATGTGGTTCTTCCCTGATTGAGCTGACCCATTCATGGTGCAACCATACAATAGCTGCAGTGTGGCTAAACCATGTTAAAATGATATATAAATCTAATTAACATATTTAACATTACAAATTATTTAAATTTGAGTCACTTGTAAATTATTGAAGGATCTTTTTGGGAGATTATTACTTATAGCAAAAGCATCTATTTATATGTTTTGAATTATTTAATTGTTAGTAGGGATGCTACTTACGTAGACACTGGTGGCCTCCCATCTCAGGGGAATCTCGTTTAGAGCTGGGTCAGTATCAGAGGCAGCTGAACAGAGTAAGTGGTGCAAATTTGAGTCTCTGAGAGATGACTACATATTTGTGCCATTTGCTATAGAGACTATTGGTCTAGTTAAGATTTAGTACATTTTCTTATGAGATATGGTGTAATAGATATTACTTTTATTATATTTAATTCTAATGTAAGATATAAAAAAGTAGAACCACATCTTATGTACAGTCTATAAGTTTATGAAATCAACCCACTTTCAAGAATCTATTACTATGGGACAGACATAAAGAAGTTCATTTGCTTGTTCAAAAGCTTGTTATTAATTAAGAGGAAAAGGATCATAAACATAATGCAAACCCTCTTTACTTGCAGTTAGCATTTGCACAATTTGATCTTAATTGGCTTAATCACTACGTTCCAACAAAAAACATACAATAACATCATTTGGTATTTGAAACATTCAGACACTTTGTTTTTAATGACTCTTAATTAACAATATGAGGGAGAGAAAGGCGAAAATTTTAAAATATTGTCTAGAAACGTTTCCAAAATACCAGATGTAAGTAAATTGTTTTTAAATTTATTAAAAAAAATCAAACGAACTACGATATATTATCATGTTTTCAATTTTAAAATCAACAAAGAAAATGATCTTTTTGTACAGTGGCTATGTTTCAATATGCATCAAATATCAAGTGATTGATTCAATACTAAATAGTAGTCCCAATTGTTAACAAGTCATCTGTTATATCAGTGTTTATTATCTATTCTTCTACTTCCTGTGGCATTGTATGGAG